GCCTCCAAGGGTGTGTTCACCCTGGGATTTGTTCGACTGATTTTCACGCCGAGTGGCGTCAAATACATCCCGGAAACTCACATCAGCGAAACCCACCCATCCACACACATACACATAGCAAAAGAGAAAAGAGAGAGAGAGAGAGAGAGAGAGGCAAGCCTGATCCAACACGTAGCCACGCACGCACACACCAATACAGCGGACTAGAGAGAGAGAGAGAGACGATGCATAGTTAGAAAAATCCAAGCCACTATAATGCCTGCTGGAGGATATCTGCCAACACCCAGAGGAAACGAATGGATATTGGTGTACCAATAAAGTGCTGAATTACAGACCCGGGTTCGAACCCAGAGTTTAATCAGACGATTCTGCATTTCCTCGGACAGGGTCAGCTCAATGATGATACCTCAATGCCATCGCGCTTTCGAAAAAAACAAGAAACGACGGACGGTCATTTCTCGAATCCATAAATAACGGTAGCACACCGACTACCCGTTCCTCCTCTCTACCGCGTTAACTCCTCCTCTCTACCGCGTTAACAATAGAGGCCCCACAGCCCTATGGTACTGTTCGCTACCGTTGGCCTTCGCAAGATCCATAACTGCCAATTGTTTGTTTTGTTCTTTGCGCAACTGCCTGACCCATAACTGAAAGATTCTCGGCTATATTGGCACACGGCCATTGGGGGGGGGGGGGGGGGAATCTACGATAAAATTTCTAGATGGAAAAGGTGGGCCACAGGTGAGGCAGTGTGGGACCAACCAAGGACACTCCACTACTGTCCTCTGTACAAAAATGGACGGTGGGACATTGTTCCGGTTATTGTCCGCTGTACATGTGCGAAATGGCTTGGACAGTGGTCAGCAACCCGGTGGAAAGTCGACTGTTTGTGAATGTATGGCTCCCAGCCTGCAAAATTTGTTTCGCGGAAAGTCCTTCAAGGAACTCACCGTTCTTTTTTTTTTTTTTTTTTCCCCTCTCTATTCGTGGGGAGCAGCATGTGCTGGGAACCGGGCCCAGTGTCCCTTACGATTTTTTTTTATTTTTATTTTTTTTTGCTCCGAACGAATCCTGGGGAGCAGCACGGGCCCAGCCTCCCTTACGAATGTACATCATTTGGAACATGAAAACATCAGGACATGACCACTATGCTGGAAACTGGGTCCAGCGTCCCATATTCGCAGCCCTAAGGCTGCGGTTTAGTTGGCTTCAGCGACTGTGTCAAGGTGTCGCATTTTTGGCGGCGGGCAACCGCGATGCAAGGGGGTTCTTAGGGGGGGGAGAAATTTGGGGACTGGTCCTTCAAGATATTGCGGACTACCTACAGCTAGCTCTTCTAGAACCGGGACTTTTGGAAGAAGTAAGGACCGCTCCTCGGGTGGAAGTGGACCCCAAAAAGAAGTCAGGGCATGTGAACTGCAAAAGAGCCCTCAGGCCCAGGCGTTGAGGCCTATCTTCTCAAAACAAGGAGGTCAGGCGCAACGAAACAGGCGTTTTGCAAGAGGCAACTTTGCCAATTTACTTTGCTCCGAGGAATCCGCAGAAAAATCTTAAATTTTGAGAATCCGTAGATGAGGTCGTATTCTTTCCAGGAAAAATATCAGAACATTTCAGAAAATAATTTAGACCTGTCACGCCGATTCGGCACATTTTCCATTTTTGCCACTCAGCCATGTCTGGGCCAACTGAAAAAGTACTCCAAATTCAGGGAGTTTTCGCGCTCAGAAGAATGCATGAAAAAACCTGAAAATTGGAGTACTCGTAGATTTTGTTGTGATCTTTCCAAGAAAAATGCTAAATAAAATTTAAAAATCCATTCCAACTGTGAAATAGATAGCGACCGCAATTTGACCCAAATTTCAATTTTG